AAAAATTGATCTTATGCAAAATTTGGCGTGATCGTCTTCTGCTTTACGGCAAGCAGTTAGCGACCACGTCACACAGGGTCCATCAAGAACTCAAAATCTGAATCGCTTGTTGTCACTCCACAATCCAGAATCGTACTCTTTCCGCTTCCTCGAACAACCATCACATAGACATTTCCATTTGTGTTTAGTTCATTATTTAGCAGAAACGCAGATAGTTCCTCTACGTATAAACAATGTCCCGAAGGTCAGTAATTATGCCAGCCATTCAGTTATGGAAGTTACTTACTACTTACGACGCCCACGAATCCATATATTAATCGCAGTCTCGGGATTAGAGGCAGGAAATCGTTTCACAAAAAGTTCAACAGTCTGGTTTACACTCTCAGGTGCTGTACAGATGTCAGAATAGCACAGAGGTGCCGAAAATTTGCCACACTCAACCGTCGGTATTAATGTTTTGTCTTCGAGACCATTGGAGAACAGGGGACAGGGAGACCATTTAGACACCTCATGTCTTTTGAAGGAAAATGCCTGCAGAACACACGTTGCAGCGAAGGCTACGAGCTTGAGACTCATATCAAGCGAAGCAAATTTCGTAATGCTGACTTGTATCATAGACTTTCATACAGCTTGCAAGACAAGTTCGATAAACTATATCAGCTATTATAAGGTAGCTGATTGTTTGAATAGGCCCTGGATACATTTAGGTCGTGGCAAAATTGACACCAGATCATTAGGAAACACTCAGGTTCTGACTGATACAATTGGATCGATGGGATCGATTAGATTAAATTGAATATCCAAAACTGATAGACAGCACACAAAAGCGTCATGTCGACAATGTAGAGGATAAGATATGCGGCGTGGTTGCTGTCTAGCTCGCGCGGGCTCGTTTCAACAAATGCGCGGAGGATGTGTCTGCGTGTTTGGATTTCAGAGCACAACTTGAACTAATTTCTCATTACTTTTAAGGTATCATATACTCCGAATTTAGTTGATACAATCGATATGGAATAAATAGACTCCACTATCCATAATATTTAAACTAATTAACATGCAAGCTAGACCTACAAAAGGATTGTATAAACGACAAAATCACATCCGTTGATCTTTCCTTTATCCTGTATATCATTACGTATCACGACACGAGGCGCAACATACCGAATACGTTCCCGAACATCCGGCCTAGAAGTGAAGTATAGTCATTATGTGAGAATTTTGGGTAGTACTCTTAGCTCACTTTCGCTTTTACCACCGTGTGAACGTCGCAACTCTGCCTAGCTCGTAGATGTTATGAGCCCAAGCTTAACGATTACAGCGGTAGCTGAGCGTTCTTACAATGATAGCCTTTACATCGAGAGCAGATGTCTTCCGATTTGCTGTCGACTGTGCCATCGTGCCTTTCGGTTTCAACTCAATGTGGCCGAGCAGTTCCTTCATGACGATCGCTAATCGGGCGGAAATCTTCCAACAACAGCATCTATCATTGTTAGAATTTTATTGTTGCTACTATTCGATATTTTAGAGCACGTCTTCCGTCGCTGAAGCATGAGCGATCCTGCACTACTTCCACGCACAGTAGCCTGTGCAACATGTGCAGTTCAGGAAGCCACTCCCGTAGTAGAGTACAGAAAACCCGTTACATTCCCCCCATTAAAAACGCGAATACCCACAGTTCACATTTGACTGTTGCCTCGTACGAGGCTCGCGAATCTTAACACCTTTACGCGATCAGGACCTTCTTTGGCATTCTCTGCTCAATGAGCCCTGTGTCCACGACACACAGAGAGACCTAGCCTCGCTGGTTCCGAGAGCACAGCCCATCTTTGCCTCCTGCACGCGGTGCAACTCCGGACAGTACGTCCGCGGCTTCGCTGGAAGCATATCACAAGCCCTCGGCAACCGGGTGCCACGCACCGCGAGATGGATTTCCCCGTTAAGGATTCGGAGGAAAGCGACTCAAGTCAGGTACTTCCATCTCAGGATGGAAAGAAGAGGAGGGCGAGGTGCGCCAGTGGCGAGACGTGAGCCCTGCTCGTACCTCGCGGACACCGTTTCCGTTCCCTGACTTCTCGACTTTCGAGGAAAGTTGTATCACTACCAATCACCTCGACGAGGCACAGGAGCAGCAGTTGAAGGCTGCCCACAGGGCAGCTCTCATGCGCTCGTATCCAGGTTTGGTCGCTGACCCTCGTGTAGAATACGACTTCAGCTCGGCTGATCTGGCTTCTTGAAAAGAAGGACGCGATCACTCGCTCGTTCGGCGTTTATGTGGTCGGACTCCCAGCCACTACACAAGCTTATCCTGACATACAATAGTTTTCCAAGCTCGCTTCTTGGTGCCTCAAGAAGTCCCAATGGATAGATACCGCGCTCGACTTCGCGCAAAATAAGCAGGCGCGTCTGTACCCGCAGTGCGTACATCAAACATTCCTCGCTGTCTAACTTACAGCGGAGTCACAAGAAAGTGGATGTGCGCGTTGCACGCCATCTTCCATCCGAGTCTGGCAAACGCACGGTGCAACGCCGACTTCCTACGTATTGTTGCCCTGAGACGTATGGATTGATATATCACGCCCCCGTGAGCGCTGTGTTCTCTCACACGGGTGAGTCTATGACCAAAGCAGCTCAGGGCCATAGCTTGCGCTCAAGGCTCTTCGACTTCTCCGGCTATTGTTGAGAATTGCGTAGCGCAGATCGTCATGATCTCTCTGACCATAAGAATCCACGACGTCCAGGCAGTCTTGCCGAAGCGGCTCCTTAACCCCCCACGAGTTCTCAGAGTCTGGATATAGCCGCCCCTTCACAAGATACTGGATTTGAATCTGTCGACAACGTCGACCCACATGGCGTTCCAAGTGATAGTGAACGCCACCATTCTCGTCGAGAGGAGTCGGCGGCGGACGATGACGACTTATTCCGGTGACTCGCGATGCTTTTCGAGCTCTTGAGGGCAAGGTCCGTCGCAATCGGCGCTCTGCTGAGCATCATACTGATGTCGCATACCGAGTGCGGAAGACCTTGACAGCTTTAAGCACTTCGTGCGCCGGCTGCCTCGCCTTGAGGACTACCGCACTCTGTCGGAGCGACTCCTAGCCGTGGATCAGGCGAATGCGTTGCTGAATGCAAAGGTGGAGCGCTTGGCGCCATTTTGGAGGTTGTCGCACTCCGTGCTCAGAACCAGTTGTTGGTTCAGCTTTTGGGTGGCCGCGGGCTCGTTGGATCTGCTTCGGCACCAACGCTTTCGCGTTCACTTGAGCCGAATTCCGGTACGGCTTGAGCAAGCCCACGTAGAACACCGGGTGGGTGCGCATCCGTTTGGGAAGGTTTAATGTATACGCTAGCCCCGTTTGGCCTCAACCCTAAACGATCCAAAAAACCGTGGACGAAGCTTCGTCCGGAAGATAGCAGAGGCTGCATGTGTAAGCAGGTTTTTTGAATTTTATGAAACCAGGTCTCCGACCTTAAAGCTTTCCACTTTGCCTCTTCCTTTGTCATCTGCATATTCTTTCTGCAGATCTTGGCTTTCAGCCATCGCATCACGAACGTGTCTTAGGTCACTTAGTCTGGTGGACAAGAAGTCATCGACTTCTTTGCCATAGTCGAACAAAATTTTCCCATGAAACGGGGGTGTCTATTAGAGACAATCGACTCTAGAAGTCCGTGACAACGCATCAGCCAAAGCATTATGCTTTCCTTGATTTCACTCCATCTCGAAGTTATATTCCGCGAAGAAGGATAACCACCTGGCCATCTCTGAGAGAGGTGAGGCAACTGAGCTGCAGTGGGTTGTGCCGCATGATTTGTGTAGATCACGAACGGCTTGGAGCCGAGCTAGTGATCCCTAAACTTGACAAGTGCATATTTTATCGCAAGTAAGTCCTTGTCATGAACGCAGTTGTTCTTCTCTGCATCCTTGAGACGGCGAGATTCGAACGCGATCACCCTATCTCGCCCCTCTACGTCTGCTTGAAGCAATGCACAGCCGATAGCAAAGTCTGAAGCGTCACAGACGACACTAAAGGACGATCAGGATTTGGCAACGCTAGTACTGGTGCATGAAGAAGGCAGTCTTTGACCCCGTAAAGAGCCTCTCGATGCTCGGTGTCCCAACACCATTCTGTATCCGTTCTAAGCAGATTAGACAATGGCCGTGCCATTTCCGCATAACTCGCTATACTTGTGCAAGTAATTGACGAGGCCAAGCCACTTGCAGCGGTCCCTTTGGTTCTTTGAAGCCGGCCAGTCCACAATGGCCTTAACCTTAGCAGGATCCGCTCGAAAGCCACGCTGCCCGATGAAGCACCCTGAAAAAAGGATGGTTTTGGCGAAGATGCACATGTCTGCATGAGAATATTGCGCATTAGTGTGCATCGACTCTATCACTGCTCACAAATGGACGATGCGGTTCTCATCGTGTTCTGCACGACAGTGGACGAAGATGTCGTCAAAGTATTTCAGTTCATACGCCGGGTGGGGCCTCAATAACCGTGTCACAAGACGATTAAATGTTGCTGGTGTAATCGACAGCCCTTGGGGCATAACCAGCCACCCCCACAGCATGCCGCTCTCATGAGCAATTTGTAATACCCATCGACCAATTTGAGTGCACTAGACTTTGTACAGCTAGCCATACAGTTCTGAAGAACATGCTTCCTAGGATCGGCGTCTGTGCCGGTATGGTGGCAGCGTTGAGCTTATTGTAAGCGTGAAAGATACGCCACTTGCCGTGGGCTTCCGGACAAAAAACGTGGGCGTCAAATGGGTAAAATTGCTATCACGCGTCATTTCTGCTTTGTGCCTTCCACAGAAGAAGGCACCAATTACGTCATATTGCTCCTTGGGCTGGGGTAATTGGCGTGTTACGCAGTATTTGGTTTCCGGAACCATGTCAATCTCATGGCGCACACCTCGGTCTGGAAGTAGGACTGATGGCGGGTCTCCGGGGACGACGTCGTGAAATTCCTTTATCAAAGAATAGTACGGATTTGTGGGATCCTTCGGGATCGACGATAAACTCTGTGCGTTCTCCACCCTCTTGGTGTTTTCCAGGATAGCATCAACCAGAACCTACGGCGTGTTAATCCTCCCGTTCGATCGAATAATGACCATCTCGGCTAAATCGTCTACCTTCAAGACACATCCGAACTCTTCGTCTGACATCTCGTTCAGCTCAAGCAGAGCATCCACGCCTCGAGGGTGTTGTTGCCGTCTTCCTTCCCATACATTCCGTTGACAAGGGTAGTAGCTGTGCGCTATCGTCTATGGAAGACACACTCTGAGTCAAGGTCGACGCCCTGCATCTTTCAGATGAATTACGGCGTCACCGTTGCCTTTTCCCGGAGGTTTTACGTCTCGACGAGACCAGTGGGAACACGTTCTCAGCGTCGTTCAGTGTCAGCCCCATTTCCTGCTCCACCAGAGCCCCGATGATGTTAACAACATCTGACGAAGATCTGCTAGTTCCGCAGGCTTTGTTTAGTGCATAACGTTCCGCTCTGCGCGCATATGAAGAGCACCTTGCCCAAGATGCCTCGAACCTCGTCCAACCATGCCACTCTTGGCATGCTGCAACT